GAGAATTGATTTGCATACCTCCATGGCTTGGAAAATGGTGGACCGCAAGCACATTTTATGTAGTAATATCCTGGAATTTGAGAGCTGCTAAACGTGTCTCTTTTGGCTTTCTACTTGTCTTGGGACAGCATATTTTGATGTGTTGTCAATGTCACCACTGTACTTTAGGGTAACAAGTGATGAAGCACAGAATTCGTCCAGCTATTTTTGTTATATATAGAGAGATAGATAGACAGATATAGGTATAGGTATATATTTACATATAATAAATAGTTTTGACTTTTTATCCAGGTAATTGGCTTTTAACACCAGATAATTTGGGGTTTTGTTATTCGGCGCACAACATTTTGCATTTGTCTTGCTCATCAAGCATCTTTCCATTTTGTCGGTCCTGGATATGCTCCAAGAGCTCTTCACTAGTAAGGAGAAAGGGCAATCTTTGTCATTGTGATTATGCTGCTCATAGGAAAATGGCAGCCCCCTTTTTAAGAACATCATCCGTAAATCACTACAAGTGACAGGTTTTTTAGTATTTTTGTTTGTTTTTTTTAATGAAGTCTTAAATTCATACTCTAGCCTTACAATAGTTTTGCTTTTGGGGGTGGGGGATGCGTATATTTTGTTTTGTTTTGCTTTGCTTTATATACGCTTATACATTTATCCAATTTTTATATTTGTGTTCATCCATGTATTTCTGTATAGTGCACACAGAATGCTTGGAATTGGTTGTTTAAAAAAAAAAAAAAAAACGAAAATTTACTCAGCTGAGACTACTGTGAGTGTGCTTATGAAAACTTTTTTGTTGTTGTTTTGTAGATTTGATCATAAGTAGTGGTTAGTTTTTCTTTTTCTTTCTTTTTTTTTTTTTAACTATAGACGGGGATTTTGGGACATGTTAGTAAGGAGCCAATTTCCCTCCTGTGGGTTCTTACCTGTTCCCTCATGTAGCCCTACATTCCAGAGTGTTCATCAACAGAAGTTGCTTTTGCTGAAAAAAGCTTCCCTTTAAAGCTTTCTCTTTTAAAGCTTTACTTTACGAACGTTCACAAACTGATCCACAAGACAGTAGAGAGGCAGTTTTCCACATAGAGTATACACCACTGGTACACTGAGCTGTTCACAAACAAAGTAGATAGTTAAACCATCTGTTAAATGTTATGAACCTGTGTTACTTGACTATAATCTTGCTCACAAGGTTGAAACTGACTTCAGATGTTTGCAATAATTATACATTACAGCATGTGTCTACAGGTCTTGTATTCATTAATCCTCATAAAATATCTGATGTGGGTAATAATGTTTATGATAATTTTAGCTAAAATGAAAGTGAGGTTTTTTTTAATTGTGGAATTTCTGAATTTTGTATTAGGAGCAATAATTCTTGAATTCCTGTTTTTTATGCTAGACGTAAATGGAGTAACATAGTTACATTGTTATATTTTTTTAAAAAAATAAAATGACTAATATTTAATAACTGCTTTCATTTATTGAGACTGGTATTGTACAGAGCTTTTAAATCTTGTTCTAACTTCCTCTTTTCATTTTGTAGCCCTATATTTTTACAGACCCACCTACTGTAAGAGTCACTCATGGAAGGATTTTCTCAGAAGTTGTGTGTTTTTTCCCTCATGTGACTCATACCATGCGACTCTATAAAATCCAGGGTAAGAAGATTCTCATTGTTTATTTTTCATCATTGCGGTCTTGAACACTTCTTGTACTAGTCATGTTAGTGATGTAGTAGCGGTAAATGTTAACATTTTAACATGCTAGTAATGCTGAAGGTGGTATTCATGTTTTTTAAAAGGTGTGGAAAAAATACAGTTTAACATGCTTTTCATTCAGGACTTCAAGGGTAGTAAAATCACAAGCCTGTCCATATTTTACATAGCAAAAAAGCAATGCAAAACCTAAAGCTGCAGGCAAACACTTTACTGTTCCCTTGTTTAAAGTTTCAGGATTGTTAACAATTTGACAGGGTAAAGGTGGTCTTAAGAAAGCTATTGCAACATGCTGTCAAACTGAATGGCAAGAAGAATTTGAACGTGGGGTGTGTGTGTATACACATACTTTTACACACAAATTCATTATAATATATTTATATGAAAACATAACATTAAATAGCTGGAAATCTTTGCAGCATTTACATTTTTAGGTGTTAAAATAAGCTATCCTGACAATGAGTAAATTCAAAAAAACAGAAATCTGGCTCAGCAACAGAAATAAAAGGTAATATAAAATTTGCTGCATGAGCAAATTATGTTTTTTTTTCTCACTGTTTTCAGTGCTTCTAGAAAATCTCTTGTGATGCCAGAAGATAGCTTACATTAAAATTAACCAACTTATGTGTGTAGTTGTATGAGATCTGTGCATCAAAATAAATTGACAATCATAATAACATCTGAGAGTTTTAGTTGGTATTACAGGTTCCCACTGTGATAGTTTCTTTGCAAAAAAAAGAAACACACCAAAAAGAAAATTCTGTGCTCAGGAGGTAACTGTTAAGTAAGAAAGAAATAATTTAGTAAGTACTAACTATCGAAGTTTAAGCTCGATGACTACAGGTGGATACAGAGAATTAAAAAAGGAAAACATGGCTTTTCACAACTTACAGATTTTGCATATCTTTCAGGTTATTGTAGTAAAAATAGTTGTATTAATATATTGATTTGTAATGTCTAGTTAACTTATTTTACATAATAATATGTAATTAATACATATTAAAAATTTAATGTATTAATGAATACCGGTGTTGGTATTCATGGATTGCATTAGGTACTTGTAGAGTACAAGTGCAGTGTGGGAATGTGATTTTTCAGGATTTTTTATTAGTAACATTCTTGATTAGGAAGAAGGTATTACAGTTCTCATGATAGTGTCATGAGTTTGTATTATATTAAAGATAATACTGCAGTAGGTGGTATGTTTTTGACCAAAAAAAGGCAAATACAGAACTGAAATATCAGCTTTATTCCATTCTCAGTGCTAGGCTTTTTTAAAAAAATACAACTATTTAAAGAGGTAATTTAATATAGAGGAAGAAAAATGGAAATACGGACTATGGTAACAAACCTAGAAAACAAACAAACAAACTTTTTTTGGCTTGAGAAAAGAAAGACAAACAAGAGGTTGTCTTGTATGCTTAGATATCTCAGATTATTATGCAATTATTTTCTGTCTATGCAGATATGATTGTAGTGTTCAGGAGCCCAAATTGTCACGAGCATGTCTTTTGACTGTTGTTTGCTAAGATACATTGAACTGTTGTAAATATTAAGTCCTTCATATCTAACCCTTTAAAAACTGTCTTTACATATTAAAAGACTAAGACAGTTGTTAAGCCCTTCTCAATCGCTCAACTTCTGTCATCTTTTTTACAGTCTGTGGGCAAGTATAGTATAATTTCAGTAGTGTAAATAGAATTTTAATTTCTTTGTACTGTTCGGTACTTTTTTTTTTGACAGCTGTTAGTCCCATTAGACTGTATTTATTTCCTGGTCATGCTGATATCGGTGTGTAGATTCTCTCTTTTTCAGTTGTAACAGCTGCCAGTTTACTGCTTGCTAAGAACAGTTACTGGGTAATAGGCAAGTAACTTCCCTGTTGTCTGTGAAAAGCAAAAGCTATAGCATAAGCGGAGTAGTGAATGCCAAGAGGCAAATCCAGGGTAATAGCTAATGCTAAAGATCATATTTAAAAGTGATGTAGCATTTCCTACTGATTTGTAAGAACACACATTGGATCTTGTCATGAATATTTTGAATTATTACAATACAGTTGCTGTTCTACTTAAGTGCAGGTTTCATAATGATAGTCTAGTGAGTCCTGAATTAGAAACACTGCTATATTGTATAGTATAACATAGCACTGCTATATCATGTTTTTTAAAAATTGAGAGATTTTTAAATGCTTCATTTTTAGGTTTGGAAGGACAGTCTCTTGAGGTTTCCAATATTGTGGATATTAGAGGAGAATATAATCGTGAGCTTGCAATGAGAATTTCATCTGACATAAACAGTCAAAATAGATTCTATACTGATCTCAATGGATATCAGGTAATTACTAATTATCACGTCTATTAATTATAATGGCATAGGGTCTCAGTTTTCAACTGTCTCAATACTTCTAATTGTAAGGAATTTGTGGGTTTTTTTTCTTGATATTCTAAGAAATTCACCAAGTTTAGTAAACATAAGAATTGCAATACCACAAGCTATGACAAGCCATCATACAATTGCTTGTATAACTGCATTTTTGCCCTCTGTCTTGTCTGTTTGAGTAGTCGAACTCTAATTGTGTGTATAAGGCTGAACAACTAGACTTAGAAGACATCTACTTTCTGCCTGGATAGAAATAAGGAAGTAAATGTTATTTTTGGAGTGTAGTAAGTTAATCTTACTTGAAATGTATAGGATGAAATATTTACGACTGTTTTTCTTAACTTTGAGTCTGCAGCATGGACGAAAGTAAGAATGGGGTTTTTTTTCGTACTGTTACTACAAATAATATTGCAAGTACATTTAAAACAATAGCTATTGAGTAAAAGATTATATTTTTGCCAGTTTTTTTGCCTGATTTTTGCTTATCTATCTTTTCTAAAGACCATAAAGCAAATATTTATACATAGAAATAATTTTAAAACGATTATTCGCTTTTCATGTATTGTTCAAGAATTCCTCCAGCATATTCATTTAAAGTTTGCATTAGAAATCAAGGAATTCCTTTTCTACTTAAAGGTATTAAAATACTTTAAATATATTCACAGCTTGCTGTCTGGAGTACAAAAAAAAAAATCTGTCATTGTACAACTGTAGTGATTCTTTTTTTTTTGCAGATTCCCTTGATGAATCTTTCAGTTCTTTAAAAGTATTCTTTGATCTAGGGGTACATTGAAGTTACCGTTTCCAAAGTGGTAGTTTTAGCCACAAATCTCCAAAAAGCTAAATAATACAGCTGAGTGAATACTTTGGTGCCAGTTGTCAATCATTGCTTCTAAAGCACTTGGGATAAATGTCTGAAAAGATCTTTGAAATTTAAATGCATGAAAAGAATGTATTTTATTGAAGTTCATGTTCATAATATAGATTCAACCCAGACTGACGATGAGCAAATTGCCCCTTCAAGCAAATATCTATCCTATGACTACAATGGCTTATATCCAAGATGTTGGCATTCGTTTGACACTACATTCAGCTCAGTCTCTAGGTGTTACAAGCTTGAAAAATGGTAAGTTTAAGATGATAGATACTATAAAGTACTCTCGTTCATGATGATCTGAAATATTTAATTCATTTGCAGCTTACAATAACACCTGATATTAAAAAAAAAAAAAAAAAACAATTCTACCTCTGGCAAGTTTTAGAATAGGGAGAAGCTTGCATTTGTTCACGTCAGATTTATCTCAGCAGATTAGTTGGAAAGAGGTTCTGAAGAAGACAAAATGAATGATAAATTGTCATAGCCTGGTAGTATGCATGCAAGAATTCTGGTAGAACTCAAAGATGAAACAGCGAAACTGAATGTTTCGTGATCTTACGTACTGCTTTGATAGGCTAAAGTTGAGTATAGATAACATGATATTAATTGTGTGTGTGCGTCTGCGTTTTATAATATATTTTATTTATTTTTAGTTTTCTTGATTATTAAGGTAGAGTGGACTAGACTTAGAAACCCCAAAGTGCATGGCCTTATATCACTGTCAAGCAAACTAATAGCACTGTTTTAAAGAACAGAATTAACTAGAGGATAAATATTGCGCTGGGTTCTACCCAAGTAGAACCATGTCTCATAAGATCAATGGAGTTCTTCGAAAGAGTTGATGACATGTTGACAGGAAATACTCTAGTCGATATCAAGAATGCCAAAAAGACATGCTGCCCTGTCTCTTGTAGCAGAGAAGTATATTCCTCAGACTCACACCCTCAGAGAGGGTCAGTTGTTCACTGTCTATTCTACTGATCAAATGACATCAAATGACGCTAGCAAGTGGCAGACAAAATAAGGTATGTAGTGCATAATTTAAGACATATAAGTCTAAGGTTGTTGGATGCTGTGAATTTTAAATTACATGGATTTGAAAAGCAGCTTGACTGAATGCTTAGAATTAAGAAAGCCCATCAGAAACTATGCCAAAACTCAGTTTCTTTTCAGAAAATGTTCTTGATGTCTGCTCTGGCAAAGCATGAATACAGTCATGGACTGATAATAGTATTACCAAACCTGATTCATGTTAGGGCAAAGAGTCTTTCTAGTTTGTTTATTCTTGGAATTAAAAGAAGGCAGATTGAAAATTGTGCCTGAATAGTAGAAGACTAAATCTTTATTCAAAACCTTAAATTCTCTGTAGTAATCCTACCTCTTCAGGGAGGGAAGGCAACTTCATACCTGTTTCTCCTGGGAAATTCAGGTTTTCACATCAAAAGCCCACCTGTTGTCCTATGAGTCATGACCATTTCTTTTTCTGGGACCTATTGTTTGACTTTGTCATGATACTGAGACTCCTCATAAAGACATTGGCCTTTATCAGTGAGGAAATGTTGGTGAATTGACTCCTTATAGATCATTGAAGAAGAAGAGGAATTTGCCAGACAAAAGCTCTGAATGTTCTGTGACTTAGTTTGAGCTGCATTAATTACCCAAAGCTCAGAATACTGGAAGAATATATCCCATCATAATTCAGAAGAACACATGATAGCAATTTTAGACTTCTTTTTTTGAGTAGAGTCTTCCTGACAATTTTTCAGATGTTGGTAGAGCTCTTGAGACAATTTAATTTATATCCAATCACTCAAGTAAGAATAAGCTTCACCAATCTTCAACACATCATTGACCCAGGTGTGATAACTACACGTGCAGTACATGCAAATGTTTTTCTCTCTGTTTACCAGACTGCTACCAGACAACCTCGATAACACCAGACTTTCAGTTACCGTTGTATTCAAACTTGTATCATTGTGACTTGGGCCAGCCAGCTAAGAAAACTATAGCTACTTTCTGAGCATTTGCATTATCAAACTGAGAGACTATACTACTGTTTTACAAGTCTTGCATTTTATATATATAAAAAAACCTTGCATATTATGTACAAAAAGCAAAAGAAACAAACAAAAAAAACCCAGGATTTTATGTTCACGTGAGCCAAAGCCTAACATAACTTACAGGTATTCCAATACAAGAAAACGTCGTTTTTTTTTCCAAATACAGGAAATTACACCTAAAAACTCAAGTAATTTAAAACAACGTTATAGTTGGGAATTACTTGTTTATACATCCAGGATTAAATTGTATCCTATACAAACCTGTCTTTCTGAGTGGATCAGTTTTAAGTTGTTACAAGGATTTCAGTTAGTATCACTGAATTCCAAGAATTCTGTTATTTATGGGGCAAGGGAAATCTTGAACGGGTTTACTTCCATGGTATATTACCACTTTTCTTCACCTACAGGCATGCCTTGGAAAGCTATCGTATGTTTGGTTGGATTATTCTGCCTGAGTATTAAAAGGAGTTTACCTCTGTGGTATCTATATCCTTTGTGTTATAGAGCAGCAGTGATCTCTCTGCATATCCTCAAGAAGTTGAGGACATATTTTGTCATAGGGGGCAATATCATATAGTTCTTATGACTCTTTGACAAAGAGCTGTAAGCAGCGGCAAAGGGAATGTAGAATACCTGCATTGCTACATCCTGTGCTACCCTAACTATACCAAGTCTTCAAGTGGTTGATGCCACATCATCCCATTCCCTGTTTCAGTCAATATATGTATGCTGCAATGTGTGTTTCAGGAAAGAGTTCTCTGTCAATCATACTAGAGATAAAAATGCATCCAAGCAAAGCTACCCAGTGTGGCTTGCTTGCACCTTTATTCACCCTCAAGGGAGAGGCATGTTAATTTTTAGGTTCGATTAACTCCATGAGTTATACAACCCATACTTTAATAGAATATAGTTACCTTTTGTTCCAAGGTGGCCTTATAGTGAGACTTAAAACAAAATTCCCCATGTTTTGTTAAATGTAACAAAATTAAATTCCCTTTAGTCTAATCTTGTGAATGAACTTGGTGTGACCTAACATTTATAGATGCTAGTTAACTCTAGGTAATGGAGCCCAATTAGGGTGCAGAGGCTCAGTTACCCTGTAATAGTATCTGTGTTTGTTCTTTAACAATTCTAGTCTCTGCCTCACAGAATGGCATAAGTCTATAGAGATAGATTTCTCTTTCTGTCTTTGAGTCAGGAAAGAAATTGCTGATGATGCTTGAAATAAATAAAAATATTATATATAAAATAAAGAGATAAATTAATAAATTAGATTAATATGGTGGAGAAAGAGTGTATATATGCCATATCTCTTTGGCAAATGCTGTTGTGTCACATGAGGCTGAAGAGGTGATTGGCAACATCAAATATTTACTCTATATCCCCTTAAAAAAATAAAGGAGATGTGGAAATGTATTTGTCACACAGGACTTCTTAATAAAGAACCAAAATGAACCTGAAAGTTCTGGGGCTGCTGAAAACTATGCTCTTTGCAACCCTTCTTCTGAAAATCTTTCAGTATTTCATAAGGATTCTGACAGAACTAAGTCAAAAGTCATAATTTAGGCAGGTGCCTTTGATAGCAGATTGATCTGTTTTTCAAGCCACAATCCACTATGTGAAGCTTATCAGAAGAGATAATTATTTTTTATCTGTCATTCTTGATTCGAGACATGTTTTCGCTAACAGTAGTTGGTTACCTTTCATGCTGTTAGATGATCTCAGCAGTATGGAATAGGATTTCTCAGTGTGTGTTATCAATATTTTCAAGATCAGCTTCAAAAACTGTAAAATACATGTGCTACTACTTTTCATTCTTTCCTACTCTCTGCCTATTTGTGGGATTTCATGTATAATAGTTTTTTTAATGCAAGATGCTGGTCACAGAATTGCAGAATCCCAGAACGGTTGAGGTTGGCAGGGACCTCTAGAGATCATCTAGTCCAACCCCCCTGCTCCAGCAGGGACACCTAGAGCACGTGGCTCAGGGTCTCAGCCAGGTGGGTAGAAGATCTCCAGGGAAGGAGACTCTACAACCTCTCTGGGCAACCTGGTCCAGAGGTCTGTCACCCTCACAGGAAGGAAGTTGTTCTTCACATGGAGATGGAACATGCTGTGTTTCAACTTGCATCCATTACCCCTTGTCCTGTCACTGGCCACCACAGAGAAGAATTTGGTCCCATCATTCTCCCCTCAAATACTTGCACATGTTGATCAGATCTCTCAATCTTCTCCAGGCTAAACAGGCCCAGCTTGCTTAGTCTTTCCTCATACGATAGATGCTCCAGTCCCTTAATCATTTTTGTTGTTCTACGTTGGACCCTCTCTAGAAGCTCCACATCCCTCTTGTACTGGGAAGCCCAGAACTGCACCCAATACTCCAGGTGCGGCCTCAGCAGAGCTGAGCAGAGGGGCAGGATCCCCTCCCTTGATCTGCTGGCAACGCTCCTCCTGATGCAGGCCAGGATCCCATGGGCCTCTTTGGCCACAAGGGCACATTGCTGACTCATGGTTAACTTGTCAACCAGGACTCCCAAATCCCTCTCTGTGAAGCTGCTTTCCAGCAGGTCAACCACTAACCTGTCCTAGTGCCTGGGGTTATTCCTGTCCAGGTGCAGTACCCTGCACTTGTCCTTGTTGAACCTCCTGAGGTTCCTCTCTGCCCAGCTCTCCAACCTGTCCAGGTCTCTCTGAATGGCAGCGCAGCCCTCAGGAGTGTCAGCCACTCGCCCCAGTTTGGTGTCATCTGCAAACTTGCTGAGGGTGCCCTCTGTGCCCTCGTCCATGTCATTGATGAACAAGTTGAACAACACCAGGCCCAGTACTGACTCCTGGGGGACACCACTGGCTGAAGGCCTCCAACCAGACTCTTCCTCTACTTCAGAAGTTTCTCCCAGTTCTACAGTGGGGGATTGGACTAGATGATTTCTAAAGGCCCCTTCCAACCTTAAGGATTCTATGATTCTATGATTTTTCTACATGCACTGGAGGAACTTATGTGTGCACCTGCTGTGCATGCTACTTATTTACAGGAGGTTTCTACCAAGCAGTCCAGAAAGGCAGTGCTACAGTTTATTCTAAGAATTTCTTATTCTATTTTTGTCTTGTGCAAAGTTCTTCTCACACAAATGAAGATATCAACAAAAAATAAGTGATCGTTAACATTTATTCTTCATACTGCCTATTTTCTTTTCTGTCTGATGCCAGCCTGAAAAATCACATGGAGAAAGATTGTGCTTTAGATGTGCACTCTTTCATACAACATAAGATAAGTACAGGTGAGTGCAGAAGGACTGTGCATACAGTTGAAACTGTTCTGGCTGCTTCTCCACATCAATGCTTGATGCATCAAGTCTTGCAGTTATAAATAACACTTAACAGTAATGTTCATGCAAAATTTAAATTTATAGAAGCTAAATTTGATAAAGGACTGGATAAAAGGATGAAGGTTATGTGAAAGTTTTGGGAGGATATAAGCAACCAAAACCAGAAGACTTTAGCTGTTTTTATAATCTGACCTAACAGTGGTAATCCACTATTACTCTGTCATCTTTAAGACAGAAAGTAGGATGCTTTGCAATTATTATTTTAGGGAAAGGCATTGTCTTATGTTTAATAAAGCTTAGCATATTCCTATTACCCGTGAAATCCTTACATTGTTTTTTTTTTCAGGTCAGTTAGAAGTAATCATGGATCGCCGACTTATGCAGGATGACAATCGTGGCCTTGGACAAGGTGTCCAAGATAACAAGATTACAGCTAATATCTTCCGACTTCTGCTGGAAAGAAGACATGGAACAGATGTGGTAAGGATGGTTTTCTGAGCCAAACTGAGCCAAATTTCCTCAGTTCTAGCTCATGGAAAAACTTGTTTACTTAATTCACTGCTGCTGCAAAGCACTTTTTTTTTTTTTATCATATAATTATTCAAAAAAGCCCAGTTTTTCCATGAGCTAGAACTGAGGAAATTTGGCTTCCTAAGGAATTCTGTCAGATCTCTTGCATTGTCTCACCATAACAACTGACTTTTCCCTGGTAACATAAGTAACTTAAACTCACATTGCATCACACTACCTGAATACTATTTTGGGGTTCTCTTTTTCAAACATTATGGGGTTTTGTTTGTTTTTGTTTTTGATGTTGATTAGTGAGAAAACTGCTTCTTGTCAAAGTTGATTGAAACTAAGCAAAGATGGAAAAATTGTCTAAGATGAATAGAGTGAACATGAAAACTATATGATCCTGTTCCTGTAAGCTTTATTTTCTGAGGAAATGAGGTTTTGCTGGAAGTACTTAGATACCAGACTTACAAACATTCTCATTTCATTATCAGTCAGGGAAGAATGAGATTATTTTGATTATTTTATTGTAAAGAGATTTTTGCATAGCTTACCTTGATTCTTCATTTTATACTTTAATCTTTTGAATAATTCTTCCATCCTCCTTTTGTTCTCTGCATTTTTTGCTCTTTCATTTTCTGCTGTCATTGTTGAGAAGGGCCAGTACATTTTCGCACTAAAGAAATAAAATCAGGATGACACATTTTAAAGTCATTGCACAGCTAAAGATAAGTGCTTGTATACTGAGCTACAAATAAATATTCAGATAAATTGGAATTAATTCTGGTTTGTAATGGGTATCATTAACTGCTGGTGAAAGGATGTTGCTATCAAGCTTAAAGCTATTTTCCACCATTTAATGATTGACAACTTTTTGATTTTGTTTTTTTTGGAGGTTGTACAAATTGTACATAATGATTTTCTAGTTTCTCATTTTGCACAGCATCAACAGTATATTAACTGTAGTTATTGGCATGGTATAAAAATGTCTGAACTAGCCTGAAACAAGTTGAATCCTGGAGTTGTGACCATTGCAAAGATTAATCTATCTTGGCAAAGGGGGAACCTGTAGAGAAATCTAAGCTGTCCTGACAAACTCCTTTTAGTACTAAGGTTTATTTGTGTTGTATTAAAGTGTAGTGTGTGATGCTATTAAATTCAACGTGGAATGCTATGTTTGCATTAGAAGATAATTTGGAGCAACAGTAGCAGATCAAACCATACAGATGGTTGACCGTACTGTGTGTGGTATGGATATTTTCCATAGAATCATAAAATAATTCAGGCTGGAAGGACTCTTAAGTGCTCTCTCGCCTAGTAGAATCTCTGCTCAAAGCAGGTCTGTTTTTGTGTCAGGGTAAACTCTCCAAAGGATCAGTTGTAGATTAAAACGCTAATGGAAAGTTTAGGACACAGCTCGTGCGTACCTGCAGGGGAGCCTCTGGCCTTATTTCTTCCAAAAGAAAACTAGTCCATACAAACTTGAAGCTGCTCTGAAAACTAATACAGTGCTTGGTAAGTGGGGAATACAAAGTTTCTTTTCATAGAGTCATACAATCATAGAATGCTTAAGGTT